AGAAGATTTGCTTGTTGAGTATTATGAAAACATTTTTCTTTAATGACACCAAACTTGGTACGTTGGTATAAACAGCAGTTGTAGTGTAGTGAGGTCATATTTAATAAAATTTATTAAAATATTACATGTAAATGTGTTTGGTTGTATAACTTAATGTGATTTCAATGTTTATCTGGCCATGTGCTTGTGTTGTGATTTGAGTTGTGTGTAGTGTTTTGTCCAGTTTGGTAGTGTCATGTGATGCATTATTATGGTAATTGAGGCCTTGCCCTTTCCTGCTATTGGTTAGGTCAGTTAGGTCATTGTGTATAGCTTTACCGGTCAGTCAGGTGGTAGATTTTCATGCAGTTCATGCTTCTCACATTGTACCCAGACCTTGGTCCTGATCGCAGCAGGTTAGATTTCTCTTACTAATTTTACTAATTTTGTTGTTTAATTAATATCTATACTAAATTTTGACTATGACATTTAAAGTAAATATAAAGTTTATCAAAAGCTTAATAAGTTAATAACTTTGCTGGAATAAGTCTTATTGGTTTTAGATAATCTGAATGTTGAAAACTACATTTAAGTTTGCATGCAGCACATTGAGCTGTTTTATATTATTTTGATGACTAGGTGCTGGTTTCCCATGTAAATTTGTCAATGATCATTTAAAAGCCTCCAGACACATTGTCTTTGGTAAGAACATGTATTTCTTGTTTTAGATATTTTATTATTTTGAACTGAATAATGAAGCTATTGGCTATAAAGTATGTTTGACAACTATTTTTGATTTACCAACTTAATTACCAAAATCCATTTTTACTTCTATTTTTATGTTTTATCTGTAAAGCCTATGAATCTGTTCAGTTGAAATTAAGAGCTATTGCCCATTATTCAGAGTGCAGTATTGTATATATTTATCATGAGGGAAAGCATAATATTAAACATTTTGTCATACCATTATATTTTATGTGATGTATGTTTGTTTATGCTTATACTAATTATTTGCTTTACAGATTTACATGTATTTATATTTATATTTTCAATTTTAGGCCTCATCTTTCAATCAGTCAGAATATAATAAATTCATGAACCCTGACAGCGTCTTATTCTTATTCACCCCTACTATTGATATTGTGATTTAAATTCAAGGCACATGGTTAAGGTTGACATTATACATTTATTGACCGAGTTCGAGGGCAACATGCGTTTTGTCGGACCCAAGAACCAAACTGTCTGCCTGAGGCCGTTAGGCCGAAGGCAGACAGTTTGGTTCGAGGGTACGACAAAACGCATTTTGCCCGAGAACTCTGTCAATAAATGTTTTGTTATACCTTTCATTTTTTTTTTTTTTATTTTTTTGACATTCATGTATTTTGTTCTGTACATTCAGTGATGTAACGTCCTGTCTGTCACTGTTTAACACCAACCAATGAAAATGAGATTAAGCTCCGCCCATTATGTGACGTAAGCGGTCCAACATCTCTCCGAGCGGTCCAACATTTCACTCAGCGGTCCAACATCGATTTTTTTATGCCCGCTCAGCAAAACATTAAAAATGTTAGACTTTTTATGTATAGATTTGTATAGGAACAAATTTTTAAAGGTATAACAAATTCAAAGATTATAGGGTAGTACCGGTTTTATAAATAAAATTGGCATTAAACAGGGCATTGCTAAAGTCTGTTTCTTTTGAAAAAAATGTCCTGTAAAAATGTGTTTCCAGACCTTTCTGAAAGACTCTCATGATTTTCAACAAGAAAGGTTGGCTAAAGGGTGGAGGGTTAAGAAAACAATATATCTTGTCATAATTTACTTTGAAAATTAGAGCTCATTTGCGACCGATACGCTGGTAAAAGAAAAACGTATAATGTCATCTACACTGACAACCTTTGTTTGCCTCATATGGCTATTGTTATTACCACGAAAAACTGACCAATCATGGAATGAATAGCAACGTTTACACCAAATGCATGTTTACATTTCACTTCCAACACGTGGTTCAGTTCAATCTGTGATCATGTCAATGGAGTGCAAAATCCAAAAACTCGTATGAACAAAATACAAAGATTAGAAACTATGAAAGACGTCACTGGCGTTTTTAATTTGTTGTCAACTAGAAAAAAATATGTATAATAAAATGTAGTTTGTGTCTAGTTCAGAACATCAGCACTTCAAGGGTAAGGAAAACGAGCATTAAAATGGTCAAAACATTTTAGCTTACCTGAGCCGAAGGCTCAAGTGAGCTAATCTGATCACATTTTGTCCGTCGTCCGTCCGTCTGTCTGTCTAGCTGCCGTCTGTAAACTTTTCACATTTTCGACTTCTTCTCAAGAACCACTGGGCCAATTTTAACCAAATTTGATACAAAGTATCCTTTGATAAAGTGAAATTAAAATTGTAAAAATGAGAGACCAGGTCCCCTCAGAAGGGGAGATAATCAAGAAAAGACAAAAATAGGGTGGGGTCATTAAAAAAATCTTCTTCTCAAGAACCACTAGGCCAGAAAATCTGAAACTTATGTTTACATAGAAATATATTGGAAAAATCTTTAAAAATCTTCTTCTCAAGAACCACTGGGCCAGAAAAGCTGAAACTTATGTGGAAGCATCCTGATGTAATGTAGATTCTAAATTGTTCAAATCATGGCCCCTAAGGGTTGGGTGAGGCCACAAAAGGGAATCAAATATTTACATAGAAATATATAAGAAAAATTTTTAAAGATCTTTTTCTCAAGACCCACTGGGCAAGAAAAGCTGAAACTTATGTGGAAGTACCCTGGGATAGTGTAAATTCTATATTTTTCAAATCATGACCCCTGGGGTTGGGCGGGGCCACAATAGGGAATCAAAGTTTAACATAAAAATATGTATAGGAAAAAACTTTTAAAATCTCCTTCTCCACAACCACCTGGCCAGAATGGCTGAAATTTATGTACAGAAAACGGGCTTTGACAGACCATGTGTTGCTGGTGAGTACAAATGCCGCACTGGTAAACAATAATTCATTGTGATTGGCCAGTATTATCGGGGTATTGTATTCTGAGTTTCATTTGCAAATTAGTATTAGTGATTCCATATAAATCAAATATGCAATCGATGAGCAAAATGATAATCAGCATACAAAATTTTAGCACGCCCTATCAAGCAAACTGTCACTCTGTTAGTAAAACGATAATATTTGTTTTCCCTAGTCACATGTAGTATATGGATTGAGGTCACAAGTTCAAGGAGGCAAAATGATACATTGAACACTGTACATGTATATAAAAAAGGAAGACAGTATATAAGTAGTGTTTATATCTGATAAAAAAGGATTTCAATCTATAAGTATTTTAGTACAATTCAGATAACCTTGGACTTTCAGCAAGGCGTGACTTTCTCGACGTTACAAAATTATCTTCTGAAATTTACACAGCCTTCCTTAACTTCTGAAATATACATTCAGCCGTATGTCAACTTAAGTCTTCTCATCGTGTCAATAACAATTCAAAGTTCCTAATGTTATTAATTTCTTAGCCATTGAGAATCTATTTGACAGGCACTAATTTCTTAGCGCCGAGAATGCCACATCTTACTGAAAGCCCAAGGTTAACTACTAAGAAATTGTACTATTTTTTAAATACTTTGAAAAACATTTCTCGAAAAAGTCTCAATAATTTGTTGGCTCATTATATTAATTTCTCAGTATCCTGGGAGTTCGAGTCTGCTATACAGATATTTTTTATTACCTTTATTGCATATTGCACCCATATGGGTCAAGCAATACATCAGAAAACCAGAAGTCTCTGCCGAGACTGTAGTTCTACTGGTTTGTACTTTAAACAAAGAAAAGTGGCAGTTGTGACTTGAAACTTCACAACAGCAATAAACAGAATAATGATGATGTTTCTCAGTGTACAATACTTGCATGCCACATTATACATGTACTATAATCAGACTAAAACTGTATTTGGAATTGCATTTTTTAAGTATTTCACAGAAATTTCTTATTTCTATTAACCATGGCAACACCGTTCATCGAAATCTAAAATCGATAAACAGAATCATGTATCTTAGTGTAGTCTACTTGTGTGCCAAGTTATACTGAAATCAGACTAAAACTGTTGGAGGAGTAGCATTTTGACTGTTTTTCACAGAAATTTCTATTTTTAGTAACCATGGCAACACCATTCATCAAAATCGAAAAACATAAACAGAATTATGCATCTTAGTGTAGTTTCCTTGTGTGCCAAGTTATATGGAAATCAGACGAAAACTGTAGGAGAAATAGCATTTTGAATCAATTTCACAGAAATTTCTATTTTCAATAACCACGGCAACACCGTTCATCGAAATCAAAAACTGATAAACAGATTTATGCATCTTAGGGTAGTCTACTTGTGTGCCAAGTTATATTGAAATCAGACCAAAACTGTAGGAGGAGTAGCATTTTGAATGTTTTTCACAGAAATTTTTATTTTCAGTAAGCATGGCAACACCGTTCAGCAAAATCAAAAACCGATACAGAGATTTATGTATCTTGTTTGCCAAGTTATATTGAAATCAGACCAAAACTGTAGGAGGAGTAGCATTTTGAATGTTTTTCACAGAAATTTCTATTTTTAGTAACCACGGCAACACCGTTCATCGAAATCAAAAACTGATAAATAGATTTATGTATCTTAGGGTAATCTACTTGTGTGCCAAGTTATATTGAAATCAGACTAAAACTGTTGGAGTAGCAGCATTTTGAATGTTTTTCAAGGAAATTTCTATTTTTAGTAACCATGTCAACACCGTTCATCAAAATCAAAAACCGATATACAGAACTATGTTTCTTAGTGCAGTCTACTTGTGTGCCAAGTTATATTGAAATCAGACCAAAACTGTAGGAGGAGTAGCATTTTGAAAAATTGTTTACAGACAGACAGACAGCTAGACGGACGCCGGACGCATTACTACCGCATAAGCTCTTCTGGTCACTAACCAGTAGAGCTAAAAACAAAACAAAAGAGAACAATGAATGATATCTACAATATCCATATAGAGATATCAAACATGTTCCCTCTGAGAACAAAACTACCCATTTTGATATCCAGGTCTGATAAAGATCAATATTCGGATTATATTTGCCCTCATTTAAGTGACCCCCATTTTTGATTATCATTAAAACATTCTTATTAAAGTCTTTTAAATGGTTCTTTTTCATTAAACATTGTGCCACATGGAGTGTACAAATCTTGTTTATTCCTTTCCAAAGAACAATGTAACATTTTTTCGAAGTAAATACTTCGTCTAAATTGATTTTCCATCCACTGAATGACGTGCGATGTTCAACGGGATTGCTTGTAATTCTGCCCTTATTAGAATTAGTCGGATGTGTGCGAATAAATACTGTGTCTCCTTCGTTGATCTCTACCGCAATAAGACCATTGGAAGTTTGGGTGTAAGTTGAATCATATGCGTCAGTAAACGAAGCGCCTACTAAATTGGAATTTATAGCAATCTGACTGAAGATATAACCGTGGGGATCACAATAGACTGTCCAGGTAAATACGTAGATACCTGTGTGTGGAGCAGTAAATATTCCTGAATGTTTATTGTAGCCGTTACCAACATTTGTCAGTACAGAGTCGAAAATAAAAGTATGATGTGGACTTGGCTCGGGCTCACGATTGGACATATATGCACTGAAAGCCACAGATCCAGAGGCAGCTGTAAAATACAAATACAAAATCAAATATAAAATTTTATAAGAAAATATTGGCATCTGTATTTGAGATTATTGAAGGATATGGAAAATTGGAGATAACGAACAGTATTCAATATCAAAGTCCATAAAACAATGCAAAATAGGAGCTGAGCAAACATGGATCTCCAAATAATCATGGGATTAGGTACCATAAAGGAGTGAGCATCACTTGCTGATCCGGTTATATGTATTTAAATCCGTTTTGATCCTATCCGTTTTTATCAGCTTGTTAATGTTTAAACTTAAATGTGATCTCTTAATTGGACAGAATAAAAAAGCATGCACTGGCACTCATCATCATGCAGCACGACTTGGATGTTGTGGTTTAACATTACACTATAGAGGAGTGAGTATCCCCTGCTGACCGGTCACATGTAACACAAGCTTTTTGGATACGAATTATGAATACTTTATTAATAGCTAATTGTTATTCACTGCATACTATATTTTTGCTATTTTTTTTTAACATTAATCAATTACAAGTAGTTAGATCGTATAACTTTGCTCACGGCGGGTGTGACCGTTGACAGGAGATGCCTATTCCTCCTGGACACGTCATCGGAACTCTTGAATCCCCAGTGCCCGTGTCTATACTATACCATCTTCACAGATTTGTATTGTGTACAGAATGTTTTATCATTGTTCGTTATCTTCACTCTTTTTAAATACGTACACTGTATTTAATACTGTTGAGTTTTTAAAAAATCTATGTTACTGAAATTAATCGTTTGGCATTAATAGTGTAAGGGTATTCAATGTTTTGTAGTTGAATATGGAATTTATTTCACGAGTGGGACAGGATTTTTGATATTTTCACGAGTGCGAAGTACATATTCAACTACAAAACATTGAATTTTCTGTTTATTACATTTTAAAATAAAAATTCTTTGATTTTTCCTTTCCCTCTGTCTTTTTGTAATACAGTCATAGGCTGGTGACGTCATAGTTGAGCGGTTGAGACGTCATAGCTATATGAAGTGAAAACACTGTAAACAATTAACATGGATTTAGCTACATAATTTTGGTAATTTTTACAGTTTTATTCGCTGTCAGAATGGTTTATTTATTTCCATCTATCTTATATTAGGTCAAGGAAGAATTCTTTTACAGCAATCTTCGTTATTTGAAGGGAAATCGAGAGTTTTCCCGCAATTCTGTTATTCGTCACACTGTGACAGGATATCATTTTGATATCCTTTCTCACTGTGACAGGATATCATTTTTATTCAATGAATAAATTACAGTATTTCACGGGTAAAAATGTAATAAAGCATACCACGTTTGATGGGACTTGTAGATTTCAAATCCTCTTTTCCATCCTTGCCATCAACCGAAGAGGAAATTAAACCAAGAATTAAAGGCAATTCATGTTTAGTTCTGTTTCTCATTATATTGTTCTTCTCATGCAACCGTTCATTATTGAAATTTCCAGCGTCTTGCATTTTTTGGTCTGCTTCGTTTTCAAGTCTATTAATTCGCAATTCTTGGTTTTTGCACGGTTTTCTAATATCAAGATTTTTTTCTCCATATTTGTTTGAGTAAGTCTTTGGCAATTCAATTCACGTTCATTTAGTTTAACTGTCAGTCTTTGGATTTCTTTTTCCATCCACTGAAGTCTTTCTTCATCAAGGCAATGTCCACAACTAAAGCTTAAACCGATTATTAGTAAAACAGAAACACGGACATCCATTAGAATTGTATTCGAAACAAGCCGAAAGCGAGCTTCTTGCAGGAAAACTTCAAAACAGTTAACAGATCAGTAATGCGTTAGGCTTTTATTGCAGGTATATCTCGATAAAGATAACCTTTCTCAAATAACAGCATGCACGAAACCTACACTGTAAAAATTGCGTTTAGGATTTAAACACTTCCATGACGTGTTTAGATCTAAACATGTATAGAAATATGTTTAACAACTAAACACTTACGTCTAAACATGTTTTATATCTGAACGTGTTTAGAAATTAAACACCTTTTGATGTAGTCTACAGAGTTATCTTCCCGGAAATGACACAAAATACTCGTATATTTGAACGTTAATTTGAGCGGCCATCGAAACAAAGCAAATCACAAAAAGCTTATGTGACGTATCAAGGAGAATTACTGACAACCCACAGGATAACCATGAAGAAATATTGAAAATCATTTGAAAGGCACCTTCTTACTGAATTATATTAAAGGTATGTTTTCTTTTTCTACAGATTTACATTTATAAACCACGATGAGCAATGTAAACAGTGACTTGGGGGTAGTTAATAAACTTGTAGGAGAGGAGTTTATATTGAATTTCATTAAAAATAACCATTTTAATATCAGTATAGTTTCAAAACAACTTGAAAAACTGATGTCAACTTCAATGGGCAGCGTACGGTACTTTCGCTTAAATCTGACTTTCTTTCATACAGGTTTTGTGAATAGTCCAGATCGAACTTAAAGCATGTTTCAAGTACATGTAGCCGGCGCCATCTTCAAGTGCAAATTGTTGTTCCATGATCCACGCTAAGAAACGTATTCTTATGAAGTGCATTGGATTATCCCTAATTCGGCAATGTTCGACAGTTTTGAATACATGTACCTTAAATTATTCTTGTGCATTTGAAATGGATTACTTTTGGCAGTTACTGATGGGATATTATATCATGTGGTGCTATGTGGTGCTTTAGGACTGCTGAAAGTTAATCAAGTTTGATATTTTGGTGACTGACATATGGAAAACTCTGCAACCAATTGAAACTGTAATTAATCATAATTATGTATAAAAAATAAACATTTTCTAATTTTAATTTAAATATCTTTAATAAAGCATTTTAAAAAAGATTCAGTGAATTTTTTATCTAAAATTGCCAGCTTATTATTTTTCTAAATAAATTACTGTGTATAATTTGTTGCCCTGCCTGCGTTATAAATATAATATATCTCATGCTAATTGAACTTATAGAGATCAAATTAAATTTGTGTAAATTAAGTACATCATACAATTGTAAAGTATCTACATATATAAACATTCAGAGGCCTCATGATAAATAATTTAATCGATTACTATTTTGAAAATTTTGACAATAATATTATGTGTTCTTTGTGTCAAAATTTACAAAGTTTTATAGTTTTTCTGCAGGTACACTTGTTTTAATGTGTTAAATCTAGATATGTTTATTTTCTAAGCACATAATTAAGAAATGTGTTTAGAATCCGTACACTTTTCTAAACACTTTTTTGTCACCTTCTTTTTTATATGTTTAATTCCTAAACATGTAAAATTTCTAAACATGTATGAGAAAGTGTTTAGAATCTAAACACGTATGTGTTTCGATTCTAAACACTTTCTCAAATGTGTTTAGAAATTGAATATGTTTAGGAATTAAACGTATAAAAAAGGTGACAAAAAAGTGTTTAGAAAAGTGTTTGGATTCTAAACACATTTCTTACAGTGTAGATGTCATAGCTGTGCACCTAGGCAAGTTCTCTCATCGTCTATTATCAACATACTTTTATTTTAAAATGTCTAATTTGCTACTATTACGCGTACTTTATATTTCTACGGTTAGATTTTTTCAGCATTAGTTTTGACGAACATTTTGCTATTTCATGCATAATCTAGTAATAATTAAATTTTTTTAGAAGAAGAGCACCAGTAGCAGAGGAGAACATTTTCAAAGAATAAATGCATTTTCACTATATAATCAATAGAGCCCCACCCTAACACTAGAACCCCCAAACCAGGGGCCATGAAATTCACAATTTTGGAAGAGGCACTCTTCCTCTTTATAACTATGTACAATTGTACATATTTCATTTAATAGCTCTTCACCCAGGAGCAGAGAAGAATTTCAAAGAATTATTGCATTTTCACTATTTAATCAATAGAGCCCCGTCCTAACTCCATAACCCCTGACCCTGGGACCATGAAGTTCACAATTCTGGAAGAAACACTCTTGCTTATCATAACTATATACATCAACTTTGTTTGCTTAATACCTAGGAGCAGAGAAGAAGATTTGTAAGAAATAATGCACTTTCACTATATAATCTATATAGCCCCACCCTAGCATTAGAACTCCTGACGCTGGAGCCATGAGTATCACAAATTTGGTAGAGGACACAATGCTTTCAAATATTTTGAAATTTAACTTTTTAGCAATTGAGATAAGAATTTGGAAGAATTAGTTCAGAATCAAGCGCAATTTTTTGTGCGCAATAAATATACAGTTTTTTCAATGGTTGGCACTGTGACTCTCCGGTCTGTCACTATATTTTTTCGGAGAGCTACAGTTCTGCAGCTATCATGTGTGGGTCTAATAAATTTTATATCTAGATGGATGATAAACATGACAAACAAGATAGTAATGAAGCTCGCAAGCATCATATTGTGCAAGAATCTCCAAAATTCTAAACAAGAGGCCCATGGGCAACATCGCTCACCTATTTTCTTTAGTGATGCCGTTCTTGACCAGAATACCTCCCTTTAATAACTATTGAGGACCCGACCTACCGACATCCCAATCAGGGTCATGATTTGAACAAATTAGCTTTGAATTTACATTACTCCAAAATGCTTCGTCTAATGTCTGCGTGGTTCTTGAGAAGATTTTTCCTATATACTTGGATGCCTTATTGTGGTGCCTCCCTACCCCCAGGGGTAATGTTTTTAACAATTTAGAATCTAGACTACCCCTGTATGCTTCCATTCAAGTTTTAGCTTTTGTGGCCAGTAATACTTGAATTTCCTATTGTGGCCCCATCCTACCACCGGGGGTCATGATTTTAACAATTTAAAATCTACAATATCCCAAGGATGCTTTGGAAGTTCCACATAAAATTCAGCTTTTGTGGCCCTGTTTAGTTTAAATTGGCCCAGTGGTTCTTCAGTTCTGAAGATAAAAATGTTAAAAGTTGACACCGCCAAAGATGATGACAACAAATTCTGATCATAAATGCTCAGTTTAGCCTTCGGCGGGCGGGGCAAGAGTGCCAAATAAGCGCTTTCAGTCATTTGGTGGAAATATTGGCATCTAATCAGGAAAAGCAAGGATTTTTTCCCGGAATATTAGTGCGGTGATGATGATTTACAGCTACAAACCCTTAAAAACCCAAGTTTCTGGCATGGGGAAGATTCAATATAAGTAAATATTTCTGAAAGGGAGATTATGCATACAAAGAATCTCTTGTTTGTATTTTCCTACTTATATTCTCGTGTAACAGGGTTAAATTCCTACTTTTTAAATCTAATGAAAGCCCTCTGGCCAAAGACACTGACAAAAACTTACCAAAGGGTTTTTGAAGTGTGATGATGATTTACAGCTACAAACCCTTAAAAACCCAAGTTTCTGGCATGGGGAAGATTCAATATAAGTAAATATTTCTGAAAGGGAGATTATGCATACAAAGAATCTCTTGTTTGTATTTTCCTACTTATATTCTCGTGTAACAGGGTTAAATTCCTACTTTTTAAATCTAATGAAAGCCCTCTGGCCAAAGACACTGACAAAAACTTACCAAAGGGTTTTTGAAGTATTCATATTTCTCAAACAGTAGCTGCAACACCGTAAATGGTCATATCATAAGGTAATTTAGAATTTATAACATGAACAAAAAAAAATCAAAGTACAGTATTTTTATTTGCAAACCATTTATACAGCATTCTTACTATAAATTCCTCCCAAAAACGAAAATCATTCCAATAGTTTATTACATCATCAGAGAAGTCTATGGAATTTCATAATTCAACTCACTTTATCACTCTGATAATTGTCAGAAAATAACACAATTCGAAACAATACATGTTCAAATGTATGTTTAACAAAACGGAAACCAAGATATATGTATGTACTTCACATATTTGAATACATGTATATAAAATTCATCCTGTTTTTATGAAATTCCCATATAAAATCACATGTGTGAATATAAAATTTAAACGGATGAAATTTCTAGGATATAATAAACATGCATTATGTATTTTCCATCTTTTGATATGACTTCTCTCAACTTATATTCACTAAATGTGATTTAGCACAAGAATTTCATAAAAACAGAATGAATTCAACAAGATAATGGCTAACAGACTTGGAATATATTACATGTAACTGTGGGTGCTTTTCTGAAAAATCACATTTTCTGTTCATTGACAACAGTTGTTTTCATCAATATTTTTTCTATTTTTCTATAATCAAAATTTTGCACTATTCAAGTCCATATTTCAAAATGAATTTGAAACAGAACTCTATAATTGCTGCTTAATTCCATCCAAGTGTTCAAGTTTTTAACAAAATCAAACAATAAATCAATACAATGCATATTACGCTAGATAACTAACTTCTCACAACACCTTATCTTGGCTAGATACTCATTCAATATTAATTAATTAAAAAATTAAATCAAAACAAAATTTTCATGGATTGTGGTTTTTGCTCTACACAAACTTAAGAAATACTAATCAAAGCAAAAACAAAATTTCGCGAGACTACTGTCTCTTACAATGAAGCAAAAATAATGTTCTCGCGAAAATAAAAGTGATTTACAGTGTAATAATCATTTCATATTAACAATATCTTAAGGTACTTGATTTTTTGTTCTTGCATTAATATCATTTAAAAAATTAAGTAAAACTACAATATACTTGATCATTGATATGTCCAAGCATCAAGAACCATGTGGATATCAAGTGGGACTGGTAGTGTTATATGTTTTCAAAATATTAAAACACACGCAAACATAAAACTGCAAAATTATTTA